CCTGGCGCGGGCCATGTTCGTCTTCGGCTACGACAACTACATGGCGCACGCCTTCCCGCAGGACGAGCTCAACCCCATCCACTGCCGCGGCCGAGGGCCGGACCGCGGGGACCCGTGAGTAGCCCGCCCGCCGACCCCCTGTGGGCAGCCCCCCCCCACGCGCCCTGGGCTTGGGGTGCGTGGTCGGGCCGGGGGGCTGCCCTCTTTCTCCATTCTCCCGGAATGTCTGACCTGCGGGACAGCAGTCCTGCGCAGCCTTGTACAGACAGAGAAACTGAGGCCCAGAACCCGGAAGGGACAGCGACAGTGACAAGGGGTAGCTTGGGAGGCTGGTGACGCCCAGCTCCAGCCCCTTCTTCAGGCGGACGTGGGGTAAAAGGAAAGCCCTCATCTCTCTGCCCTCGCCCCGGGCTTTTCTCTCTAAAAACATAAAAATCCAGGAGCTGGCCCTGGGCAAGGACTTCTCTGAAGCCACCCAGTGAGTGTGAGCGGGGCGACAGCCTTCATCACAAGGGCTGCTTCCCAGGCTGAGAGTACTCAAGTGGAAGGGAAACAGACGGTCTGGCCCAGATTTGGGGGCCTGATACTCGGGGTGCCATTCCTTGGCCCCTGAGTTGACTGCACGACGTTGCCCCGTCTCGTCTGTCCCATAAGTTCCCCTACTCTGGTGGCAGGGCTGCTGGGGAAGGACCGCCAGCCCTCCCCTTCCACCAGCCTTGTTTGCGAAGGCTGAGCTTCCAGTGTCACCAGTGTGGACCTAGAGTCCAGGAGGACAGCACAGCCAGCTAAGGCCCTCCCAGACAGAGGGAAGAGTGTGCCTTGTCATTGGCCCTGTCAGGCCAGAGAGGAGACTGCCTCCCTCTGGGTCAGTCCCACAGTTGCCCATGGGCTGCTCAGTGTCCCTGTGGGGGCCTTGGCCTTGGCCGCTTAGGGCGTGGACTTCCCTTCATGAGGTGAAAGCAGTAGTCTAGTCGTTAGGGTCTAAAGAGGAAGCCCAAACACTAACAGAGCTTGAAGAGTTTTGTAAGTGGTTTGTTTATCTACAGATTTATGCCTTGAGTTGCAATTTGAGAGCACGATTTTTGGCGAAGTGAGGTTACATTCCAGGTTAACTTGAAAGCACTGGGCCTTTCTAAAATTGTAGGAAAATGATGAGTTATTTTCCTCACCTTACTCTATACTTATAAATGTAATTTCTATCTCAGGTTTTTTGAGAAAAATTTTTATTACATTTTGAAAAAAATTCCTGGGCCTTTCCAGATTGTAGGAATTAAGTCATCTTTCCTGCCAGCTCCTGTCCATTTTTTGCACAGTCGAAATCGAAGTGCGTGTACATTATTTCGGATCTTAATGTTTCCCCGCTAACGTCCATGGGATTTCAAGAAGAGTGAACACAGCCACTGCCCTTCCTGTTGTCTCAAGATTGTCCCAGACTTCCTTTTCACAGCGCGGACCTAAGGACACCAGTTTAATGAGGACTCGTGGTAGATAACGCTTTCCAGTTGGGGCCGGTGGTCTGGAGAGTGAATTGGTGACACTTCTGTGCGTTTCTTAACCCTGCGAGCCCTCTGGAGGGTTGGAGCCCCTCCCCAGCGAGGTGGCGGCAGGTGATTTGCTTGCTGGTCCCCGTGGTGGTTCCAGGCGGCACGGGCCTTTCCTTCAGGGTGAGGTCAGCTGTCGAGTATTTTGGTTTGATCGTACAGCGACGTTCTGGGTAGGTCGAGGTCAGGTTGTGGTGGGACAGGTACGCTGCTGCTGTAAAGATGGAGTTAGTAATATTGAGGAATGGCATTTGGGAAAGGAGTTAGTAAACCTTGGTATCTTTGAGGTGAAAGAGCCTGGGCTTGTGGTGGCCTTGAGTAGGTCTTCGCACTGGGCTCCTCAAAGAGTGGAAAGATTAATTTTTCTTACTCTCTTCCCTTTAACTTAACTCCTCCCAGACTTTAGTATTTTCAAGGAAAGTTTAGAACCTGAGCTTTGTCATTCTGGCTCTGAAACAACGGGGCACATTTACGTCCCCAAAATAAATAACCTGTAATAAAAATCTTTCAGATATTTTTGAAGCCAAAAGTGTTCTAGTGATTGTTATCAAATGTATTCTAAGGATTTATTTTAAAAATACAGAGTGACGTACCCTTTAGAATATTATATAAACAGCAGTCCAGAAACAAAATATAGATGCACACGTGTGTATCTTTCCTCCTGAGTCACATTTACTTGAGGCTTATCTCACCTGGAGGTCCGCTGAGCCGTGAACGTGAAGGAGGCCCACCTGACCCAGCCAAGGCACAGAGCGCCTGGGAGCCGCTGCCCACAGGGCGGTGACCCGGGGACTCGTTAGAGTGAGCCAAGGAGCAGATAAAGTGGTCTCGGGGTTGGATGGAAGATGCCCGAATCCCAGCGAATCCATTGCTGAAAATAAACCTGGAGCTGTCGCTTCGGTCTTTAAATACGTGACCTTTAAACAGGGACAGACGCATAACTGAACTCCCCAGAATTCGTCAGGCTGGACTCGGTCTCACGTTCACCGTTTCTCCCTCCCTGCCCTTCACAGACACAGTAGTGGTTGTCACTGTCATTGTCCCGAAGGACTGTCAGCGTGACCGAGGGCCTTCCCCCTCATCGCAGTGCTGACGTTGGCGTCTTGAGGTGGTGTCAGAGAGAGAAGCTGGTGTCGATGGCGGGGCAGAAACAGTTACGCAGCCACTGCCTTGGCTCATGTTCAGACACATCCCAGAGTCAGTGGAGGTGAGGGGTGAGGCGTTAGTGGAAAAACGGTACAAAGCAGTTGATTTACTCCCCCAACTAAAGGACACGTGAGTGACTCTGAGACTGTAACAGGTGTTTGCTGCTTTGTATGCGTAACCGGCTGGAGTGTCTGAATCCGTATGGGAGTTTTATGGGCAGTTCACACGACAGATGAGTCTCTCTCCTTTTTCATTCGTAATGATTTCAGAATCAGAGCTGTTTGAAGCTGGACGGAGGGATTGTTTAAGGTGACAAAAGTGTATCTTAGAGGTGGCAGACGAGTCTCGTTCACCATCTCTTGACATCCTGTTGTGTCTTTCCTCTACGGTATAAGTGTGTCTCGGCTGTTCTGTGACTCGGTTCTACTTAAGGACACTACAGAAACTGTGACTTGTGAAATAGAAAGACCTTTGCCACACTGATCCACCCTGAATAGTCCCTGAATAAATAAGAGTTGCCGGCAATTTTAGTTTCTAATGGGCGTTGAGTTTTACTGTCTTTTCTCTTTTGAAATAAAGTACCTTTGTTTAATTTTAATTGTTTCTTTTTCAGTTCAAATCTGAACATCAATGACGTGCTAGGGAATTACTCACTGACCCTGGTTGATGCGTTGGACACTCTTGCAGTAAGTGTTCAGCCTTATCATTTTTTTTAATTAAGATATTTTGGAGTCGGTGACCCCTAGTTTCTCCCAGGGGTGACAGTTCCAAGAAGCCTGGCACTCTGTATGTTTCTAGCTTTGGCAAATGTTTGTTTTAATAACCTTACTGCCGAGAGCGAGACAAGCCTCGAAGGTGGAATGGGAGGAAATGGGATCCCCCGAAATAATGGAAAGTGTGATCGTTTGGGGGGACCTGTTTTTCTCCCAGTTTCCCATGATTTTACTCCCTAAAAGAATCAAAAGAGCACTTCATTCAAGTTTACGGTTCTCGAAAACTTTCAGAGCAGTAAAAAGATCTCAGAAGTGAAAGACAAGAAGCCAGGGTCGGTATGTCCCCTGAAATACCATCCAGCTCCCAGCCCCCAAGCACGTGCGTGCGCCCGGGTCCAGCCCTGTGCGGGGACCCCCTCCGTGAACCCGCTTCCGCCTGTTGCTCTGTGCCCTGGGACACTGGGCTCCACCTCGGTCCCCCCGCCAGCTCTGGGGCTTCGACGGGAGACCTTAGACCAGGTTAGCGGGAGCCGAGGAAAGCACTGAGCTCCGTGGCAGGGGCTCAGCGTCAGGCCAGGAAGTGTTCCCCGACCTCTGCTGCCATGCAGCTCCCAGGGGACTGGACCCCAGCATAGCGTTTTAAAACCTCTCGCCTTTACCGTTAGAAAATTCTCACTGTAGTAGTTCTTTTTAACTTTCCCTAGAAGAGCTCAGAGCGTCAGGAGCGAGCTGGGTAATGCTGGCTGAGTGGGCGTCACCACGGCCCAGCACCTTGCTGGTGGTAGAATTTCTAGAACTTGGGAGGAGCTCGAGAAGCCGTTCCACATTCCACGCGGCCCACGGTCTGATGGGAAGCCCATGCTTCCTTCTGCCAGGTTGGAGCTGCGGAGCAGTTCAGTTTCCCAGTATCTCCTCCTGAAGTCGTAGCTTCCCTGCCTTGTCAGCCACCGTCACCGATCGAAATGTGCCCAGACAAGTACGTCTGGCCAGACGAGAGCCGGCTTGTGGGAGATGACAGAGGCTGACTCAGCCCACAAGTGTTGCTCAGAACAGACTCCTGCACGGCTGCGAAAGCCCCTCTCGCCCGAGCTCTCTGCCCCATCGTCTTTTTGTCCCCTGGCCACGCTCATTGAGTGCAGCGGGGCCTTATCTCCGTTCCTCGGCTCACTGGACACTGAAACATCGGAGTGCAAACATGTGTCCAAACACCCCTTCCTGCCAGCCAGCATTTCCGAGCAGGTTCCAGGGGAGCGTCCTTGAAACTGTTGCAGACGGGCGAGGCAGTCTGCCGCGGCAAGGGGCAGCCACAGTGCACGCCAGCATTTGCCAGGCTCGAGAAGCCCCACGCTGCAGAGACCTCCCTGCCTCTTCCGTCCAGTCTAGCTTTTCTTAAGCCCGAGTGAGTGATTTCCCAGCCTGCTTATCTGTTCTGACTAAAGCGTAAATGACTGGGCGGCACTGCCAGCTGCTGGCTTCCTTTTCCGTCCTCCCGATGTGAGGTCAGATCAGCAGATATGGGTCGCTGGTGAACATCTGCACATCTGCGAGGAAACAGACGTCTCTGTGGTTTTCATTGTACGATATCCGGCCTGTGCTTGTTCGCACTTCAGACGTATTTTTTAGGCATCACTTCTATGGAGGTTTCTTTTAGTAACATTTTAAACAGGCTCTCGCAGATGTGCTGCAGAAACTCTCGGAAGATAGCAATCTCCTGGCCTGAGATGCAGCTTGCGGCGTTATTGTGTAATCTTTTAAAAAGAAAGAGCTGAAAGCCAGAAAAGAGACATCTGTCTGTATCTGCTCTGCGTTACAGGAAATAGGGATGCGGCGGGGAAATGCACCAGACCAATAAATGCTAGGAAATGATACGCACTTGAGAGGAGGAGTATCTGAATGACATTGTTTGTTTGTCCTTGTTTTGTATGTGTGTGTGTGTGTGTGTGTGTGTTTGCGCGCGCGCGCGCCTTCATGATGTCATAGTCCCAGGTTTGTCATACAGTTTTGAAGACCACGAAAGCATTTCCGTTCGGGTTAATCCAAAGTAGGAGTCATAGTTCTAATCACTTTTTAAAAAGGACAAAGCTGATTGTTATGTTTTATTTGTTTTGAATGTCACTGGTTTTATGAACTGTGCTCCAAAAGGTAATACCTCTGTTTTGCAAAGTGTTTAGACAGACGTCTGGGTAACAAGCAACAAGTCATTTTCTAGATGTTTGGGGCTCCTGGGAGCCAAGCACCCAAGCTGTCAGTTTATCTGAGGAGCAGAGGGAAAGTACCATTTCTGTTTCTTCCGTTGCTGGATTTGTTTTCACTCATCTCAGGAGTTTCCGGAGCTCCAGCTAGGACGAGGGGGGTGAACGAGTTGACGAGGGGTCATTTTCACAGTTTTGCCATTTGGAGATTCGAGTCTTGAGTCGGAGGACGTGGTTTGCCATCTGTCCTGGAACGTACTCTGAGAGATAACCGGGCCATTCTCCCCTTTGTGCTTCTGCTCTCGCGGGAGGCAAAAGCACGTGCAGACACTCAGGCGACGTGGCCCAGGCCCCGCCATCTCATGGCTTCCGTTCCGCTTCAAGCCGTCGTAACGGTTCGTGTTCCTCTTTTTAAAGATAATGGGAAATTCCTCCGAGTTCCAGAAAGCAGTCAAGTTAGTGATCAACACGGTTTCATTTGACAAAGATTCCACCGTCCAAGTCTTTGAAGCCACGATAAGGTAAATCGTGCATAAAATGGTTGGAGGTCTCTGTGTGAGGGGTCTCCCGGCCGTGGGCTCCGTGTA